ATTGTCTGGAGTTAATTACAGGGACAGAGGGAACAAAACCAGTTGCCTTTGCACTTTCACAGCCCGGGGGAGGCTAAAACAGTTTGCAGCCTGTCTCGGGAGGTCGGAGGGCTCCTGGAATCCTGGGCTCAGGTCCGGATCCCTCGGGACAAGGAGGACGTGGATGCAGGAACAGCTGCCATCTCACCACGGGCTGCAGGGAAACTTCTGCTTGGGCACCTTCTGCCCCTTCTTCCTCAGCAACCTCAGGATCTGCCCCCTCCAGCTCCACCCCTGCCCGCAGGGTTTTGTCTCAGTTCTTTCAGCTGTTGATCCCAGAGGTGCATCCGTTGTGTCTCTCCAGCAGCTCCTTGGCTGGTTTTGGAGCTGGGGGGGCTTCTCAGCTCCAGCCCTGGGTGGTCCCTCTAATAAACCCTCCAAACCAGCAGAGTGTGTGTTCAGGGGAGGGGATCCGTGGCCCTTCTGAGCCCCAAGAGCTGCAGGCAACTGCCTGAGAAAGATGGGAACAGGGGACCTGGCCCCACCAGCAGGGAACATCCCACCCAGTGCCTTTCTGGTTTGGCACCAGTTTGGCACCAGGGAGGCCCTGACATTCCCTAATCTGTGGGAACCAGAAGGGTGGAGCCCCCTGGGGTGGGGTCAGTTCAGCACAGGGTCAGGAACAGAGGGGAGGGCTCTGGGGACAGGGCTCCCACCCCATGTGAGATGAATCCAGCCCAGATCCTCTTCCCTGCCCTCACCCTCTCCTCCCTCATGCTCGGTGCAGCCCTGCTGAGCTGGGCTGTGCTGCTGCTGCTGCTCCTGCTCTCACTCCTGCTGCTGCTGCTGTTTCAGGTTCTGCTCCAGGTGCTGCTGCTCCTCGGGTTCCTGCTCTATGTTCTTGGCACCAGCTGAAGGCTCAGGGAGGAGGGCACCTCCTTTTTCCTCGTTGTTCCCACAGCTCTTCAAGAAGGAGATGAGAATCACACGGGCCTCAGGAGCAGCTGGAGAGGGGAGGTATGGCCTTCTGCCTTCCTGTGCTCCATCCTTGCTTGGCAGCTTTGTCTGCTCCCCCAGCGCAGCAGCGTCAGCTCTGGGCCTCCCAGCACAGGGGCACTGAGGTGCAGAATCCAGGGACAAGGACATGGAGGGGCTGGAGCGTGTCCAGGGAAGGGCAACGGGGCTGGGGAAGGGGCTGGAGCACAAGTGTGAGCAGGAGCAGCTGAGGGAGCTGGGGGTGTCCAGCCTGGAGAGCAGGAGGTGAGGGGAGACCTGCTGGCTCTGCAGCTGCTGAGAGGAGGTTGGAGCCAGGGGGGTCGGGCTCTGCTCCCCAGGAACAAGGGATGGGACAAGAGGAAAGGGCCTCAAGTTGCCCAGGGGAGGTTGAGGTTGGATCTTGGGAACAATTCCTTCCTGGGAAGGGTTGTCAGGCCCTGGCCCAGGCTGCCCAGGGTGGAGTCCCCATCCCTGGAGGGGTTTCCAAGATGTGGTGCTGAGGGACCTGGGGCAGTGGGGACTGGGCAGGGCTGGGGGAACAGTGGGACTGGGTGATCTTGAAGGGCTTTTCCAACCCAAACCATCCCATGAATCCCAGGCCACACACACACACCAAACTGGTCACTCTGACTCTGACTCTCTTAGAGGATCCTCATCATCCAGCAGGAACTTTTTAGTGGCACAAGGGACCTTTCAGTGACAGAGATGGTGCTGTCACCTTCTCCAGATGGCAGTGGTGGGATCTGAGCACAGCTCTGACAGATCCCCAGCTGCCTCCTGGGCCTCCCTGCCCTCTGGTGGGCTCTCATCCCATTTTGGAGGAGACCAGCAATGTGTCCACTTGCCATGCCTGCAAAGCAGCACACACATCTCCCCGTTGCCATGGCAACGCTTCTTTTAAAGCACATGGATAATAATAATTAACACGATCTATTAAATTATTATTATTATTAATAATAATAATAATAATAATAATAATAATAATAATAATAATAATAATAATAATAATAATAATAATAATAATAATAATAATAATAATAATAATAATAATAATAATAATAATAATAATAATAATAATAATAATAATAATAATAACTTAGAGCAGCTTCCAGGGCCTGAAGGGGCTCCAGGAAAGCTGGGGAGGGACTTGGGCCAAGGGCAGGGAGGGATGGGATGAGGGGGAGGGATGAAAAGTGGGAGAGGGAGCTGGAGGTTGGAGCTGAGGAGGGAATTGTGGAGTGTGAGGGTGGGGAGAGCCTGGGCCAGGTTGGCCAGGGAAGCTGTGGCTGCCCCATCCCTGGGGGTGTTGAAGGGCAGGTTGGATGGGGCTTGGAGCAGCCTGAGCTAGAGGGAGGTGTCCCTGCCTGTGCAGGGGGGTTGGATCTAGATGATCTTTAAGGTCCCTGCAACCCAAACCAGTCTGTCATTCCTTGATACAATGACCGTGTGGTCTCCTGGCCTCTCAGCAGGGCAGCTCCAGAGACACTGGGCTTGGAGATGCTGGGACACATGGCCTTAAACAAGGATTTGTGGGGTCCGTGTGGCCACTGGAGTGGGTTGGTGGTTCCTCAGTGGCCAGAGTAGGAAGGAACAGCAGATGTGGGGGATGAGGAGCTGGTGCTTTCTGAGAACAGGGAATTTGATGGGAACTAAGTGCTGTGTCAGATAGTGCTGGGAAGCTGCCATGCTTCCCAAGGGCTGTTAAGTCTTAACTGCTACAGCTGGAGAAATTGTTAATTGTCAAAGCTGCTGCTCTGAAAGTTGCTAGAAGAGAGTTTGTGATCTGAAAATGCTGCCAGTTTCTGAGGTGTGAGTTAGGGCA